AAGTACACAGAACTTGCCCAGGAAATAAGGCATCTGTGGAGGATGGATAGGGTAGTTATTGTACCTGTCATTCTCTCCTGTACAGGTGTGATACCACACACTACAGAAAAGCCTGGGAACATTACAATTGAATAGAAATACATACATCACACTACAGAAGGCCACTATATTGAATACATGCCATATTGTTAGGAAATTCCTGAATACTCACTATTTAATTTTAGTTTTGTGTTGATTGCTATGCCTTGACTCTGGTCCGGCATAGTACACAGCCACTGGTGTCAACTGAGTATAACCCACTAAACCCAACATAATAATAATAATAATAATGATGTAATTGAAAATATTATATAAACTTTTAAATACTGAGAACATTATTATTACATAAAAACAGAGTCTACAATAATCAAAAATACATTCCCAAATAATTGTAAAAAATGATGGAGTCAGACTATTTTTTTCACCTATTCTTCTTACATAAATGTAAATTACACAAAAAAGTTATATTTTTCTTTCACTTCTGACTATAATATCCAAAAATATTATATAAAGATTAAAGCTAAAAAGGTATAAAAAGAAATCAGTTTGCAGAGAGAAATACGTTTTGTTTACATTACTAACAAGCTCCCCAAATGTAAATGTAAATAAAAAGTATTTTTCTCTGCAAAATGATTTCTTTTTATACCTTTTTAGCTTTAATCTTTTTTCATCATTATTAGTTTAATGTTTTAAAAATTTATTGAAGTTATATAATATCCAAAAGTCAGAAGTGAAAGAGAAATATAATTTTTTTGTGTAATTTACATTTATGTAAGAATAGGAAAAAAACAAAAATACATGTTTCTAACTCCAAATTGTAATTATTATTTGTTAAATTTATCTGATTCATTTCAGCTGAATTTGTTTTTTGTAATCATTAAGTAAGTATTGAATTAAGTAATCAAACAGATTGAAATAATACATAGGAGTTTCTCAGGATATTTCTTGAGATAATTTTTTATAGTTTTTATAATTTATTCTTATCCTATTTACTAAAAGTTCTACTTTTCACTTTAAAAATTACAAAATTCTACAATGTAGTATCTTAAAATTGTAAATCACATTAAAATATGATAGTATACAAAATTCTTTTATAAAAAGTATATATGATTATTTATATTATAATGGAATTTATGTTAAAATTTATATTTTATTAATTTTAGGTTGCTAAATCAGTTTCAGCAGCATTAAATAACTGTGTTAATTGTTTACCAGGACAAAAAGATGTTGATGATTCTATACGTTACATTACTGAAGCTAGTATGATATTGAATGGCACAGATGTAGGTTGTTTTTTTTTTAAATTCTTACTGATATTAACAAAAAACAATTTAAAATATACACCTAATTTATTAAAATAATTTTTTTATTTGCAGTTTCCTGTATCTGATAAACCATATAGTGAATTACAATGTAACTTGAATACTGCAGCTGCTAATTTAAATGAAGCAACTGGAAATGTTGTAACTTCAGCAAGAGGTACACCTAGTCAGTTATCAAGTTCAGCTAAAAATTTTGGAAATCGATTTGGGGAATTAATGGATTGTGGTGTTGAAATTATTGGGCAAACAAAAGTAAGAAAGCAAATATTATTTAAATATTTGAAAATTGTACTGATTTTTAAAATTAAATTAAAGAGTCAAAATAATTTTGTATAAAAAATATATTATTTTATAGGATAATGAAGTACGAGGACAAATGGTTGTTAGTTTAAAAAATGTTTCTATGGTTTCAAGTAAACTTTTAGTTGTAGCAAAATCTGTAGCAGCTGATCCTAGTGCTCCAAATGCTAAGAATCAGTTATCCACTGCAGCAAGGTAATCTTAAAATTACATAATATAAAAATTATAACAGTATTTAATTAAACTGTAATTTAAGTCTTTAAGTTCTGAAATTATAAAATTTGTTTGATCACCAAAAATGACTTTTCTCCTAATTGAATAATTAATACTAATTTTTTCATATAAAATATTTAACATGAGATATTCTATTGCTTATCAGATAAAAGTTTCACAGATTAGCTTTATGTATCAGGTATAGATTAATAAGATTTTTCCAAAAGTGAGCAAAATATTTCTACTTTTAATAATAATAATTCTTCAGATACTTATTTTATTCATATGTGCATTATAAAAAAGGTTTTGAAATATATAAATCAAAAAAGTTAAAACGAATTAGAATATTTAGAATTTAATACAATAATATAATTTAATAAATATATACTTTCTATTTGTCTTTATATAATATATGAGACAGACTAATATATTTGTTAAAATTAATATATCTTTGATTATATATATTATAGTAGAATTTAATATTAAAATAAAATTTTAAATATTGGTTTCTGCTTATATAGAATATTATATTTCTGCAATTAAAATACTTTGTACTATATAAATATGTGTATTTCATTGAGTTAATCAGTTTCCCATTTAATGTAATTTTTTGTGATAGTATATTTACAACATTAAATTTAGGTTTATAAGAAAGAATTATTCTCAGTTTAACTATTTATTTATAAAACAATTCATTCACAATTGTAAAGGTAAAGAATGGCTATTGTGATATAGTCAAACAATATACATATTGAGAAGAATTTTTTATTTGTAAATTTGTTTCATCTTGTCAAATAACAAAATTAATGTATTTTTTTAATAATGTATTTAAATCATGATATACTGTAAATCTATTACAAGACTCTTTTTTTAAATATTAATGATATAATTATATAGGTAAGATTTTTTAAAATTAAAATATTAAAATAATTTGTTATCTAATAATATATTTTTGAATTTACTTTAATTACTCATTAAATTTAAGTATTTTCCTTAAAATTTTAACTTAAATTTTTTAAAACAGGTCTGTGACAGAAAGTATAAATCATCTTATAGATGTGTGCACATCAGCTGCTCCTGGTCAAAAAGAATGTGATAATGCAATTAGAAATATACAGGTTAATATATTATTTTAATAATCAAATAAATATTTTTATTTAATTGCTTACTTTACATTAAATTAAAGCAAAGAAACTATTAAAAAATTAATTACTTTAGCAGTTCATAATTTTACAATATAAACTTTTTTGTAGATGTTGAGACCACTTCTAGATAATCCAAGTGAACCTGTAAATGATGCAACTTATTTTGAATGCCTTGAAACTGTNTTGTTTTTTACTTCTTATGTTTACTTTTTATGTTAAAATTTATATTTTATTAATTTTAGGTTGCTAAATCAGTTTCAGCAGCATTAAATAACTGTGTTAATTGTTTACCAGGACAAAAAGATGTTGATGATTCTATACGTTACATTACTGAAGCTAGTATGATATTGAATGGCACAGATGTAGGTTGTTTTTTTTTTAAATTCTTACTGATATTAACAAAAAACAATTTAAAATATACACCTAATTTATTAAAATAATTTTTTTATTTGCAGTTTCCTGTATCTGATAAACCATATAGTGAATTACAATGTAACTTGAATACTGCAGCTGCTAATTTAAATGAAGCAACTGGAAATGTTGTAACTTCAGCAAGAGGTACACCTAGTCAGTTATCAAGTTCAGCTAAAAATTTTGGAAATCGATTTGGGGAATTAATGGATTGTGGTGTTGAAATTATTGGGCAAACAAAAGTAAGAAAGCAAATATTATTTAAATATTTGAAAATTGTACTGATTTTTAAAATTAAATTAAAGAGTCAAAATAATTTTGTATAAAAAATATATTATTTTATAGGATAATGAAGTACGAGGACAAATGGTTGTTAGTTTAAAAAATGTTTCTATGGTTTCAAGTAAACTTTTAGTTGTAGCAAAATCTGTAGCAGCTGATCCTAGTGCTCCAAATGCTAAGAATCAGTTATCCACTGCAGCAAGGTAATCTTAAAATTACATAATATAAAAATTATAACAGTATTTAATTAAACTGTAATTTAAGTCTTTAAGTTCTGAAATTATAAAATTTGTTTGATCACCAAAAATGACTTTTCTCCTAATTGAATAATTAATACTAATTTTTTCATATAAAATATTTAACATGAGATATTCTATTGCTTATCAGATAAAAGTTTCACAGATTAGCTTTATGTATCAGGTATAGATTAATAAGATTTTTCCAAAAGTGAGCAAAATATTTCTACTTTTAATAATAATAATTCTTCAGATACTTATTTTATTCATATGTGCATTATAAAAAAGGTTTTGAAATATATAAATCAAAAAAGTTAAAACGAATTAGAATATTTAGAATTTAATACAATAATATAATTTAATAAATATATACTTTCTATTTGTCTTTATATAATATATGAGACAGACTAATATATTTGTTAAAATTAATATATCTTTGATTATATATATTATAGTAGAATTTAATATTAAAATAAAATTTTAAATATTGGTTTCTGCTTATATAGAATATTATATTTCTGCAATTAAAATACTTTGTACTATATAAATATGTGTATTTCATTGAGTTAATCAGTTTCCCATTTAATGTAATTTTTTGTGATAGTATATTTACAACATTAAATTTAGGTTTATAAGAAAGAATTATTCTCAGTTTAACTATTTATTTATAAAACAATTCATTCACAATTGTAAAGGTAAAGAATGGCTATTGTGATATAGTCAAACAATATACATATTGAGAAGAATTTTTTATTTGTAAATTTGTTTCATCTTGTCAAATAACAAAATTAATGTATTTTTTTAATAATGTATTTAAATCATGATATACTGTAAATCTATTACAAGACTCTTTTTTTAAATATTAATGATATAATTATATAGGTAAGATTTTTTAAAATTAAAATATTAAAATAATTTGTTATCTAATAATATATTTTTGAATTTACTTTAATTACTCATTAAATTTAAGTATTTTCCTTAAAATTTTAACTTAAATTTTTTAAAACAGGTCTGTGACAGAAAGTATAAATCATCTTATAGATGTGTGCACATCAGCTGCTCCTGGTCAAAAAGAATGTGATAATGCAATTAGAAATATACAGGTTAATATATTATTTTAATAATCAAATAAATATTTTTATTTAATTGCTTACTTTACATTAAATTAAAGCAAAGAAACTATTAAAAAATTAATTACTTTAGCAGTTCATAATTTTACAATATAAACTTTTTTGTAGATGTTGAGACCACTTCTAGATAATCCAAGTGAACCTGTAAATGATGCAACTTATTTTGAATGCCTTGAAACTGTTATGGAAAAATCTAAGGTATAAAAATCAATCACAATTATTTTTTTTGTTTGAAATTTAGTACTTCTAATTTACTTACATTTAACAAAACATTATTCATTATTATGTGTTGTTGTTATTATTATTATTATTATTATGCAAATACACATTTATCCTTATATATTACATTACTTTAAAATAATAATTTAATGTGAAAAACTAATTTAAATATTATGTAGTTTTCAGTTACATCTTTTCTTGAAAATTAGGAAAATTATTAAATATAACTTAAAATGTTTAAAAATGTTTGTATAATTTTTAACATTTTTTAATACTAGAAAGTTNAGGATTTTGTTTCTATTTTTAAGCTGGATTTTCTGGTTTCCGTCTTCGCGCGCGTCGAGTTTCGTCGCGTCGCGCTGCGATTTAAAAAAAAAATTTTTTTAAATTCAATATTAAAGATTTAATACGAAAATTTTTTTAAATTCAATAATTTTATATACAGAATCTTGGAGATGGAATGACAGGTATTGCTAACCATGCTAAAAAAAGTGAACATGAACGGTTTGGCAAAGCAGTTATTGATGTTGCAGATGCTATTTGTGGACTTATTGAATCTGCAGCACAGGTAAATAAGAAAATGTTTATTTGAGTGTAATGTATCTTCTGTGTGTAATATATGTATATTATATACACTTTATATATTTTGCTTATATAGGCTGCTTACTTAGTTGGAATAGCAGATCCTTCAAGTATAGCAGGAAAATCAGGACTTGTAGATTTAGCACAGTTTGCCAGAGCTAGTCAAGCTATTCAGATGGCTTGTCAACAATTAACAAATCCAACTAGTAATCAGCAACAGGTAAAATATATATTTAAAATATATTTAACTACTTAGATTTATATAAAATTGATATGGATTTAAATATTTATATTGATTATTTTAAATAGATTCTTTCTGCAGCAACAGTAATAGCTAAACACACATCAGCTTTATGTAATTCTTGCCGAATTGCATCTTCAAGAACTACAAATCCTGTTGCTAAAAGGCATTTTGTACAATCAGCAAAGGATGTAGCAAATGCAACTGCTAGTCTCGTTAAAGAAATTAAAGTAATTTTCTGTTTTCATTTTTTAATGATATTAATATTTATTATTTATTTTAGTAAAAAATCAGAGCTGTGGAGTTTTGGTGTTTTAGTCAGAGTTATCAAAAATTAGTCAAAAGGAGTCAGAGTTATCAAAAACTCTGACTCCTTTTGACTTTCCCAACTTGTTATGTATATAACACAGAAAAGTATTGGAATTGTTGAATTTGACCCTCCAAGTTTTTTGCAAATGTACATGTTTTGAGACCTCCTGAACCCAAAAAATGTCAAATAAAGGGAAAAAATTTTTGGATGTAAGTGTGTTGGCATCTAATTTGTTTAATTTCTTTATTCTCTGTTCCATTCTGAGATATTAAACAATATTTCAGAAAGAAACAAAATTTGGCATGGTAACTTGTGTGTAGAGAGCATTAATGCTATTAAATTTTGGTTTTTAATTAAAGGTTGACAGGGTGGAGACAGAAGGGGGTCATGTAATATCTCCAGTGTGGTCAGACTTAATATTTTACTTGTTATTTGTTATTATTGCTACACTTTTCCTCTGTTATATGAGGGGTGTTCAAAAAGTATTGAACCTTTGGTTGGCAAAATAGATTTATTGATTTTGAGGTACAAAACCCTAATCCCCTTCAAAGTAGGCTCCTTGGTAATGTACACACTTTCCCAGCACTCCTGCCATTGCTGGAAACACTGCTGGAATGCATCTTTTGGAATGGCCATCAGCCAGTCTGTCGCATTTCACATGATGTCTTCTCTTGACTAAAATCGGGTTCCTTTTAGCGGCATTTTTAGCTTGGGAAATAGCCAAAGGTCACATGGAGCCATGTCGGGAGAGTACGGAGTGTGATGAACCACAGGAATGTTATGTTTGGCGACAAAAGTCTGAATCAGATACGCAGAATGGGCGTATCTGATTCAGTAATATCTCCAGTGTTATCATGATAGATCTGCCAAGTTTTGGTTGATCACAGATCCGGTCGTTTGCATCGCACAGCATCACAAAGATGACAAAGAACCTCCTGGTAGTACTCCTTTGCGATGGTTTGGCCTTGTGGTGTGTACTCAGAATACATCACCCTATGGGAGTAAAAAAAAAACTGTCAACATGACCTTGACATTTCTCCGGACCTGCCGTGTTTTTTTTTTTGTCTCGAGGATTGTCCCCAAAAGCCTGCTGAATCTTGTGAATGGTTTCCGCTTGGGTATCGCCAAGCTTTTGGCAAAATTTGATGCAATATCGCTGCTCATGTTGTTCAGTCATTTTTACAACTTAGTGGAATCCGACGAGAGCTTGATACACGTCCTCACTCATAGGCCGACTGCCAGCAACTGATGCTTCCGGCAGGCAGGAAAAAATTCAGGGCTGTGCATGACTGTCCCCTCCACAACTCCACCGAAAGAGACCTCCCGTGCATCATTGGTTTACGTGGGAAAAATAAAGGTTCGATACTTTTTGAACGCCCCTTGTATATGACAGCTGGGAAGTAAAAATTATCAAATACATATTAATATTTATATGTTCACTATGTCAGTATATTACTTAGAGGCGTTTTTAAGCTTTGGAATAAAAAGTTTCTCCATTCTATCTTTATTAGAACTCTATTGAAGCTTTTATTCTATTATTGAAGGTTTTATTCTGAGATCACATAATGACATCAAAATCCCTGGGCTTATTTTGGTAACCAGTCCACCCCTGGTTGGAGTTGGAGATGGTAGATTTTTACACAACTCCACAGTCCTGGTAAAAATATATAACTTTCAAATATATTCTTGTTCATAAAACTATATTTTTTCATGTGCAAATTATTGTATTTCATTTGTATCATCATTTGTATTTGGTATAATAGTTTTAATTTTATTTAATGAAATTTATTTAAATTATTATAGAGAAATATCATAATTAAATAATATACAATTCTTTAATGCTAAGTTTAAGATTTGAATGCACTTTTCTTCGTAAATTACATAAATGTTTTAAATCTGTAAATAAATTTAAATTATATCAAATGTAAAAGAAGTTTGTTGACCATATGTAAATTATATTTAATTTCTATAATCTACATTTGACTAACAAGCTTTTCTGGTACCTTGAATTGTTAACACTTTTAGAAACAAATTTTGAAATTTAAAATTTAATTACAAGATACCTAAAATAGTTTACATGGTGAATATTTGTAACCTGACTTTAAAAGAAAATGAGGCAAAGTGACTATTGATAGGTTCATAAGTGTGGGATACATAAAATCACACAGGGTCACTTGCCAAAATCTATCTACTATCAAAAATTTTCACTTTATTTAAAATGTCACATAATATTAGTATTTTTTGTATTTCACCTATCAGATATTTTAGTAAGTTTTAATTTTGTAAAACTTGATGACAGTAAATGATAATATTGTGTGTTCTTTTTAGATTATGGTTTGAATTCACTTTATATATTAGTGTTAGTGCATACGATATATCATCAATAGTGAAATAAAGTATTAGTTAGTGTTTTAAATATTAACTTTTTTATGTACAAATTGAACATTTTCAATAATCAAGAAAAGATAAAATACAGTATTAAAATAAATCTTTTCAATAAATTATTAAAGTTATAATACGAAAATTTTTTTAAATTCAATAANGTAACCTGTTTTGACAATGATAGATAAAGTAAATTGATTTTTTACATATTTGAAAGAATCTTGACCAAACATTTGCAACTTATATTAGTAGATCTTTGTTTAACTTTCTTATTTTATATATAATTCCTTTAATTTAAACTTTTCATTAATCTAAACCAGTGTTTCGCAACCGGTGTGCCGTCACATGGTGAAAGGTGTGACGTGAACTTTTGCATATTCTGTTAATTTTATTTATATATTTTTATCACAGTTGTTGTGTTTCTTATGCTTGTATTTCATTCTCTGCCGCAGCACTGATGAAATAAGACGATGTTTGTTTATTTTTTATTACAAGCCACACATTTTTATGTATTCTAAGAAATTATATGTAAAAAAACTTGCTCACAGGTGTTGATGTCTGTTTAATAACAATAATAATAGGTTAGTGGCATTATGTAATTCTATTAATAGTATCATATCATACGTTTTTGAGGGAAATAACATTTTGGTGTGCCATGTTGAGTCATGGTGTGCCGCAAGTAGGAAAAGGTTGCGGAACACTGATCTAAACCAATGGTCGGCAACTGGTGGTTCATGGACCATTGATGGGCCACAAGAAAATTTGGATGATCCATGAAGAAATTTGAACATTGATCAACTGAAGGTTATGTGAAGTATTACAAAAGAAATGCAAAATACTTAGTTGCTTTTTTCACTCAAATCTAAAACCAAAAACGAAGTGACTTGTTATCAATAAATAATGAACAATAAACAGTATTGTGAGTGCAATTGTCGTCCTTCATGGAAAAGTGCGAAGAATCCCTAAACTTGTTTCAAACTAGCAGCAATGAACTTTAGACTTGCATTAATTTGTTATAATTAAACATGCAAGTTTCATCTTAATATAGTAAAATTGAACTTTTATGATCATTATTCTACAGATTTTGTATCGTTTAAAAAAATTTATGATAATGGTCCACGGGATTCAAAATTGTGACTTTAGTGGTCTACGAGGTGAGAAAAGTTGCCGACTACTGATCTAAACAATCCATATAATGAGTTTGGATTTAGCAAGAACACTGTATTATAAATCACTGTTATAGCAATCAATACATATACTTGTGTATTTATATAAATAATAATTATTATTATGAATGTTTTTCTATTATAACTAATATATTTTCTAATTAGATTTTATATTTGTAATCAAATGATGTAGTTATGTACGTGAACATATGCTGTAGAGGAAAATTTGATATAATTATTTCATTTATATAATCCTATATACAGTATTTATTTTCTGATATAATATTTCTTTAAATATAATTTGTATTTTTATTTTATTTTCATTGGATTTTGTATTTTTGTGTAAAGGTTTTAGATCAAGAACCAAATGATACAAACAGACAGAACTGTACAGCTGCAACTAAACCATTAATTGATGCTGTTGAAAACTTGACTACTTTTGCAAGTTCTCCAGAATTTGCTAGTGTTCCAGCTAAAATAAGTTCTAAGGTAAGTTTAATATATACACTAATAAATTCTTAACATTGGGGGGGGTGACTTGACCGTGAGCGCTGCTGGTGACTTTGTTTCTACACCTCGACGTGAATCTAGAATTTAGTGTATTTTTTCAATTTTATTATCTGAATTAACCAAAAGTGTTTAATACTAATAAGAAATAACCAAGTTCGAGGAAAATGAATAATTAATAAGTATGCAACGTTCACCAAAAAAACGTGGTAGGCTGCCAACTAATAGAAGCAAACCGGAAAGCAAAAAGACGCAACCAGGTACATCTAATTTCAAGCTTATAACAGACTACAACTTATCAATGGATAAAGAATTACAGGAATCGTCTACGGCAAACAATGGTTCACATACGGATATATCTAAACAAAATCTACAAAGCTTTTCAGGTGAGTCCAATGTAATTAATTCATCTACTCCAATAAGCTCGAATGACACTTTAACAGCAGATCTATGGAATAGGATATCTGAATTGATTAATACTTCTAATGATAAACTATCTGCACAAATGGAATATATAAAAGAAGAACTGAATTTAATTCATGGTACTATACGGGAAAATAAAATTCAATTTGAAAAAATGGAAAGTTCAATAGATAATCTAAAAATTCAAATTGACAATTTAAAATCTGAAAAGGAACTGATACAGTATAAAATGGATACTCTAATTAATGACTGTCATTATAATAATATAGTATTATACAACTATCCTTCGTCAAAAAGCACTTCCAAACCAGAAATTCTTAAATTCATCAACTTAACATTAAACCTAAATAATGTAACTCAGGAGGATATCCTAGATATAATTCAAATAACCAAATCAACCAACCAGATTATAAAACTATCACTTAGTACGAAACAGACCCGTGATCAAATATATAATGCTTTCATATCAAAGAAACAACGTAAATTAATGGAAGACTGGGGTAATATACAGATAGCACCTGATCTTACTAAAGAAACACGTAAAAGAAGAAAACACTTATTGCCAATATATTATGAATTAAGAAACCAAAACCAATCAGTTAAACTACGTAACGACAATTTGCTAATAGACTGCAATAAATTAACTTTTAGTATTAATACAGGAAAATTAGTCTACGTGGATACCTTTCAGCCTTTCTCTGCTTCACCAGAATCATCAAGTTGATATTTACAATAAAATAAAACTCACCAAGAAAAAACTATTAAAAATATACATCCGACTACAGTTTTAAATTGGAATAGTCAAGGCTTAAAGAATAAATTTCTATCAACAAATTACTTTCAATTAAATTATGATTCAGAAACAATAGGTATAACCGAAACTTGGATTATATCTGATTAATTTTATAATTCAGTGTTCTTAACAATGAAAATAACAAGATTACTAGAATTTATTACAAAATGTCGAATTATGTTAATGAAATCGAAACCAGATTCAGTAATATTCCAGAAATAATTAACCTAAATTTTGATATAATATATAAACAAATAATTCAAATAATGAATGATTACACTCCAAAAATGTCAACGTCTTTCAGGGATACGTGAATCTTTTAACATCTCCCGAATACTCCAAAACGACTCATCTCAAGATTATAGAAATATTTTAAACAGTCTGAACTGAATAAAAAAGATCTCTACAGTCTGTATAACTTTTTCATTGAAATCACAAAAATGTTGTAAATCTGAGCCAGTATATTAAATATTACCAACATTGTACATCTGACTGTTAATGTAAATAATATTATTATAACTATCAAATTGTTTGATACTGATATCCTGTATATTATGTAAATATTATTAAAAATTTATAATATCCCATTGTATGGCCCCCTGCAACAGGGACACTTCCCTTTATGCTAATAAAGATTATTATTATTATTATTATTATAAATTCTTAACATTCATATTAAATGAGAAATTGAAATCTATATCATCTCTTAATAAGATTACTGATTATTCAGTTTAAAATCAGATTTTAAAATTCTATAATAATTTTACTCATTCTTTTTACAAGTAGCAATTTTTAACATTTATTTTTATTGTTTGAGAAATGTTTGGATTTGCATTCTATTAAATATATTCTACCATTTTTTTCTCTTAGAAGTTTTCAACTATTAAGTGATGTATGTTTTATTATTTTTGAATTAAATTGTTTTTATTTTTAGGCTCAACATGCCCAAGAACCTATTTGTTCAGCAGGAAAATCAATAATTGATAGTTCTTGTTCCATGATTCAGTCTGCTAAATCACTTGCATTAAATCCTAAGGATCCACCTGCTTGGCAGACTTTAGCAAGTCACAGTAAAAATGTTTCAGATTCTATTAAAAAACTGGTATCTTCAATAAAGTAAGAAAGATTTATCAATTTATAAAGCTTATTTTTTTTTTAATTTATCTGATATTTACATTTTCGCATTTGCTTTTTTTTTTATTAAAAATTATACATATTATTATATGTCCAATTTTTAAGTATAGATAATTTTATGAAAATGAGAAAAATTTTTAATATAAACAAATGCTATCAAAAACTTTTATATTTTTAAGATTTTAACCAGAGATTAAAAGTTTATTTTAAAAATTTTAATTGAGAAAATATATTTTTATAACAAATTTCAAAACTAAATAATTCTTAAATATTTTACTTACAGAGATAGATCACCAGGCCAGAAAGAATGTGAGGAAGCTATTGAAAGGTTAAGTATGGCTATAAGAGAACTTGATCAAGCATCGTTAAATATAATTAGTGACAATTTCCCTCCTTCTACTGAAAAAACATTAAAAGTAAATATTTTAATTATTGTTTAAGTAATTATATAATTTAATTAATTTTAAATAATTTTACAAGAAAAAAGTTTGCATAATATTACAATGTATACTTCCATATACTTTTCCAACAATATTATATATAATTTTTGTATCTAGTTAATAATTTAATATATATAATATTAACAATGTTATTTTAACAACATTTTTGTATCTATTTAATATATATTTATATATTTGATATTTTCTACAATTTGTACCTGAAATGCACTAAATAGATTAAATAACTAATTGCTTAATATACAGTTTGAAAGACTCGTTATTGTACAGTCTTAATGTCTTTACTCACACCTCAGGAAAATAAATCTTATGGTGGAGTCAACCTTTTATTAGAGGCTGCTCATCACCCTCGTTATGCAAAACATTACAGGAGTTCCTTCTGGTGATGGCACAAACAAAAAATATAATATACAGTATTGTAAAATTAGTATACAGTTGATGAGTGGATGAGAAGCCTGTAATAAAAGATTGACTTTGCTGTATGACTTGTTATTTTTTTGAGGTGTGAGAAAAGACAACGAAAGACTTGTTATTGTATAGTTTTAAACTGTATATTAATTATAGTCCTGGCAATTTTATCAAAAACTAATTGCTTGATTGACTATCAAAATCTCATTACAAATGATACAAAAAAATCATTATTACTATTAAAGATCTGATAAATTACAATTTTATTACAAGAAAAGTGATTGTATAAATATTTATATATATTTATTACTGAGAAAGAATTCAGGAATTAACATCCTTAAAGTTGAAACAAAATATTATTTATAATCTTGCTAGACATGTAAAATAACTGGATTTAAGTAATGAATGATAATATTCTTTGCATTAGTTTTATTTATTATTAAATTAAAATATTTTTAACTTCAAAATAAAATTAACCCTTAACTGGTTTTATAAATTTTACAATCATAACTGGTTTTGTGGGGGCTGTGCAGCCTCAAGCAAAATTTGCTTCTAGAGAGCAATTTTGAACAACGTGACAGTTTGAAAGTGCATAAATGCTAAATGGAACTCTTGTTTAGTATAATCAACTCTTATACAGTAGAGTGTCGATTTTCCGAAAGTCAATCATCCGAAAGAATTCCAGTCGGCAAATTTAAATTTTCGCCAGTGCTGTGGCGCTTCAATCTTTGGCTATGTCTTGGGCTACTCAAATATTTTACGTTTTTGATACTAAATTAACATCTGAAGTATAATTTTTTATTATTTTTATATTTTTCAATACATTTATTTTGTTTGTACAAAATAAAAAAATAATTTTGAACGATACAATAGTCTTTGTTAGGCTTAACATAGACGAAAATTCAATGCAAAGCGACATGCAACGGAGAAAAATTTCGACATGGATACGTTAAACTATTTTTTCGTATGTAAATCAGTTATCCGGACAACCCCAGTCCCCAATTGATTCGGAAAATCAACACTGTACTGTATATTCATATAATTTTTTTACTTAATTATTACAAGATATCACAAAATTGTTACAACTTTTGGTGTTTGCTTTTTTTATCAATACAAAAATCTACCCTATTGTAAGGTTTTAACAAAAATATTTTTTTTTCTTATTCTCAAGAAACTAGTCTTTCAAAATAGTAACTCTTATAGCCTCTAACTATCATTTGTTAAAAAACCACAGGTAATATAATTGCTTCTACTTTTAAGACTCAGGAACATTTTAACGAATTATGTAATTCAGTCTTGACAGTTATCACAGTATTTTTGCAGTACTATGCACTTTACAAACAAATTTCAAACAACTGTTGCACTTACCAGGATGGAGCTATGTACCTATTAAGTGCTGAAACGGCGAACGTTTGGCACCCCAAGTGAGGCACGACATAATGAGATTACATAAAATGGCAGCTGTGCCCAATGCTTAGATTTTTAGAAATTCATATAAATATGGCGCGTGGGGGCCGCGCGGCCCCCTGTAAAACCAGTTAAAAAATTTAATTTAAATGAACCCTTAATAAGTAATTATTGTATATTGAAGTATAATATAAGTTGCATTATCTCCTGTAATTTGTATTAATGAAATACATAAAGTTTTAATGTTTCTTTCAATATGTCATTTCCTTTCTAAACTATATTAGCTTAAATAGAAAGTTATATAATATTTTCTTTGATAATTTCTATACATAACTTGTATATTAATTAACATTTAATAGATGATCAGATGTGAAGGAAAATACATTGAACCTGTTTTGAAAATTTTAACAAAAATAATTTTATCTGCTATTTAATATATTATGTGCAGCAATTAATTATATTGTGATTAGATTACTAAATAAAAGTATACACCTTAGCAAAAACACTATCACCTTTTGTAGCATCCTTAATATTTTAAAATTACAAAGAAATTTTAATTATATTATATTAAAAATTTAAATGTGATTAATTTTAGGGTTTCCAAGAACAAATGGAAAATGCAGCATCAGAAATAATGTACAAAATAAACTCAGTTTGTACTGCTGCCAAAGGAGAAGCTGAAAAATTAGGCCATGCTGTAAGTTGTAATCAATTCTTATCTACAATTACTTTAAAAATAAGAAATTTCTAGAATATAAAATTTTGATGATTGAATATTTCAGTAATTATTAAAATTTTATTAACTTAACTTGAATGAAAAATAATATTTTTTTATTTAAGTTTTCCTTTACTTTTTTTGCAATTCATTTTAATTGATATGATGTATTAAAGAAGGAAAATTGGAGAAATTCCAAAATTTTATTTGTGTAATTTTTAAACATATTTGTTTTGTAATTTACAAGAAATATATTACATTAGTATTTTTTAAATTTTAATATTGATAGATCTATGAGCACTTCAAAATAGCAAAAAACAAAGAAACTTTTTTAGCTTAGTAAAGCTAAAAATGTTTTTTCCCCCCACTATTTTGAAGTGCTCATAGATCTATTGTATATAGATCTAAAAAGTAACAATTTATAGATTGTCTTTATCATCAACTATTGCATTAATTTCCCTAAGTAAAAATACATCTTTAGTTGATTAAATAATTGTTTTATATTTTGTTAAAACAATGAAGAAAAAGGTAGAGTGAAAAAATGTTTGTAAGCAAATTATATGAATTTTTGCATGGTGAAAGATATATTTTTAAACTTGTTTTTAAAAATAAAAATATTTAAAAAATATGTATTGTATAAAGCTTATTATCAATATATTTGTCATAGCATTTTCTCATCACTAATCACAATAAAATATAATTTGTATAAATTTGTTTATTATTGTATTTTGAAATAAGAATAATTTAAAAGTAAATAGTTAAATATATCTGATTTACTAATTAGAGATGTCAAACTGTGAAAAGAAGTATTAAATTTTCATTAAAACAATTATAATAAAATTTAAAACAAATTCTAAATTCATATGTTTTTAGGTAACCCAAATGATTACATATTTTGATCCATTAATAAAAAGTGCAATTGGTAGTGCATCAAAAACAATTAATTCAAAACAACAAATGGCACTTCTTGATCAATCTAAAACTGTTGCTGAATGTGCCTTACAATTGATTTATGCAGCTAAAGAAGCAGGTGGTAATCCAAAGGTCAGTATTTTTTAAATTAAGTTTTATTGCTTCCATTATAAATGAATATTTGAAATTAATTATTGTGAAGGGAACTTCATAAGAATTTTAAAAGAACAAATTAAGTATTTTTAAAAATAAATTTTAAATAACTAGAAAAGATTTTGAAGTCAAAATGTGTATTGTGTACATTAATTGATCATTAATTTTGTACAAACAATTTATAATCAAATAGAATTTGTAAATATTTTTGTTTTTATTATGAATATTTTATAAATTATTAAAGCATAGATTTGACTCTTTCAGGTATAAATTCTCATGTTTTACAATTAGTTAATTTCATATAATGACCAAGTTTGCCATAAAATTCAAAAAAGTTTTTCTTACATACAATTTATCTTTATCTTATTCATTTAAAATTTTACTGTTATATATAAGCAATAATATTTAAAATGAATAAGGTTATTAATATCTTGTATAAAAAGAATTGTAATTTTCTTATATTAATTAGACTCATTGCCATAAAAATTAGTGCACCAAGAAGGAGTTGTCAGAATCAAACGAAATTGTACTGTACATGTGTGAGTATAATGGTGATATAAATAAGTGATTACAAAATGAAAGCAAAAGGATCATTTATTGCAGGAAAAACTACAAAGGAAAGTAGGTTCTAGTACCCTGTTGGGCCACATCTAGTGTTAATACATGATGTGATAAGGGTGGTCATGGAGGCATACAAGTGTTATATGGTGTCCTGCAACATTTCAGTTTACAGTTGTTGCAAGTGGTCCTCTAGTTCAGCCAAACTCCCAGACTGTCCACTTTGGCATTCCAAGTAATCCCAGACATGTTCAATTGGTGACAAATCAGAGAAGTGTGGCAATGTGACGGAGGCTGTCCTGTTGGAAAATGGCTCTTGGGACCCTTGCCTTGAGAGACAACACATATTGCTGCAGGATGTCACTAACATGGGCTATCATGGTCCCTTGGATCACTACTAGAGGTGACTGGCTGTCGTATGTGATAACACCCTAGACCAGTGATTTCCAAACTTTTTCAATCCACCTCCCCCTTTGTTCCATAAAGTTATACCCAATGCTCCCTAACCCATTTTCTCTTGTGTGAGAAAGGATTGGAAATATTCTTAGGAAAACTTTTCTATGAATCTCACACTTTGTGCTCTTACTGTACATTGTTCTCGACATCTGGAAACCATTCAATGCAATGTTTCCTCTTATCCGTTTAACAGAGGAAAAGGAATGGGCTGTCAGTGACCCCAGTTTTTGCCTTTGGTCACCGTTCAGTATCCTGCCTCCAGTGTCCCCTAGATTGTGGCACTCACAAAGTGGTTCACAAAGTGGGCACTACCGCCCCCTGTGGGCGGTAGTGCCCACTTTGAGAACCATTGCCCTAGACCATCAAACCATCTCTGGGGGCTGTGTGCTGCTCCAAAGCATAGGCAGGATTGAGACATTTGCCACGGTTCTCCGGACACAAACCCAGCCGTCCTCAGTGCCCAAATTGAATCTGGATTCATCACTGTAGACAACCTGGTTCTGTTCTGTTCTGTTCCTGTTGGGATGACACCACCCACCAGTGATGGTGGATAGTGTCATTGGCAGCACATGTAATGTCCACCTTGATATTAAATGTTCCTCACCCAGGCACCTTGAAATGGTACAGATAGACATGATCCTGTAATGATAGTGACACCTGTATCTGGATGGTGGTTGGTCCGTGTAGACCAGGTGGTGCTCTCGGCTGGTGGTCTGTTGAGGGTTTCTTGAGCCTGGATATCGTGTAAATGAGCTCTTTCTCATTTACTGCTCCCAACACCTCACAGTTTTGTCAGAATGGCCTAAGTTGTGAGCTATTTGGCAAGATGACCATTTGGCTTCTCTCAACCTGATGATCCTTCTTCTCACAAACTTGGTTAATTGTTCATACAGTCTTCAATTGTAATGTAAAGACATCTCTAGTGATACAGCATCCCTCTGCAACAGGTAAACCTGTCTAGTTTACCTGTTGCAGAGGGATGCTGTATCACTAGAGATGCCTTTACATCACACTTTTTGCACTTTCTTATAGGCCAAGGAACACACTTTAATGTCTTCTGCTGGAATTACACAATGAGCCATCATGCTATAACTCTAATCATTTCCTTATCTGATTGAAACTTATCTGCATGCCCAGGGCCAGATCATCGCATAGACAAATGAGACAGATGTCTAAGGCCCGGTTTTTTGAAGGGCCCAATCAAACTGTCTATTTTGAAAAGATTTATAAATAAGATAGTTTACTTTTCTGTTGGACAATTGTATATAATAAACAAATAAACAAAAATATATCACTATAATTACCTCTTTCTAACCTGTTACCGGTGTGTCTACTAACTCTTAACGATCCAAAACGAACCAAAACTAACGTTTTCGAACCCTTAAACGGTTCTTCTTCAGGTTTTTTCGAATCTCTGATGGAAAATGCAGCTCGTAAAAACTTTAAATTCGAAATATGTAAGTTCGAATGCACGTTTCCCGTTTCCGTCGTTGTATGTCATGCGCAGTCGACTCCAAACGGGCTATCATAAATTACTATTCATAAACGCTAGCCACGCTGTTGATAACGTAATCTCTTCTTTATAATTGATGCATTGATTATCCTTAAGGTTAGCCAAGTATATGCTGGCCGCCTCTAGCCATCTGATATGGTGTACGTGCCGTGCGGTGCGGATAATTCTTGCTTTCTTAAATTCGGGGTCTATATCTGGATCGGAAGCATATACTGCTAAGGCCGTCGTGTTCCTTTGTTTCTGAATATCCGCAGCGTGTTCTTTGAGTCTAACCTCTAAGGATCGCTTGGTGGAGCCCACATACAGAAGGTTTTTATCACATCTGCGATCTATAATCGGTATGCTGTAGACTCCTGACAGCTTATCCTTGTCCGGTTGATCTTTTCCGTTGGTTAGGATGTTGAAGATCGAAGCGCATCTTCTGTATGCTATACGTATGTGGTTCTTTTTAGTTATTTCTCCATATATTCTTCCAATATACGGATTATAACTGACCGGAATGATCTTATCCATATCTTGTCGTTCTTCTCTTAGCGGAAGGTCTTGAGTTGTGTTTTGATACTCATGCCATAACTTGCGTACGAGTCTGCCGTATCCGTGTTCATCGGCTATTCTTTGTATACATCCTAGCTCTGATTGTAGGGCTGGCTCGGTAGAAGAGTGTGTGTGTGCTCTCTTAATTAGAGCCTTAAATGGTGCCACTTTATATTGCGGTGGGTCACATGACCCTACTGGTATGTATATACCTTTTGTTCCTAACTTACGGTATACTGCCATTTGAATTACCGACTCTTCTACCTTGATATCAATATCCAGGAAGTGTATATTCGTTTGGTGCACTTGTTCTATTTCTAAGGTTAATCCATATGTGTTATTATTCATTGTGTCGACGAACGCCTTGATGCCCGGTATTTCTTTCCACAATATGATAATATCATCAACATATCTCTTATATAAAATGATGTTGTGAAGGTGGTGTGGTAGGACCTTAGCTTCGAGTAGTCTAACCACCATCTCGCATAAGTCCCCAGAGATCGGACTACCCATAGGGACTCCTCTTCCTTGCGTGTACACGCTACCTTTGAATTGGAAGAATGAATTGTAACACAATAGATGGGCCATCTCCAGAATTTGCTGGTGTACCGTATTATCGTTGATGATAGATAATAGTAAATCTCTGATGGCGCAAAAGGCAGGCGGGAGAAGGATTGATGGAAACAGCGACTTGAAATCCAATACTGTGAGAAATTTTGGTGTTACGGTGATCTTCTTTAGGGTCTCTATAAGGTCTACGGGGTCACTCAGCATGTACGGATAATCTTCCAAGTAGGGCGTGATCAGCTTGTGGACGAACTTCTCCATCTTATGTGTCGGCGCCCTGCCCTTATCTATAACAGGACGTAGTTGCTGTCCTACTTTGTGGATTTTTGCGAAGGCAAACAACTTCGGTGTATCAGGCGCATCGACTATAATATTCCTCATTTCTAGTCTCTTAGCCAGTTTAGTGTTAGCGAAGCGCTTAACTTTAGCCTGTAGCTTGTCCACCGTATCCCATTGCACAATGTCACATCTGGTACTCTTAATGTGCTCCGACAACAATTGGTCATATGTATTGCGCTTCATGAGGACCATAGCCTTGTCCAAAATGAACCAAAACTAACGTTTTGGTTCGTTTTGGATCGTTAAGAGTTAGTAGACACACCGGTAACAGGTTAGAAAGAGGTAATTATATTACTATTCTCCGGTGTTGTGGTAAAGATGAGTAAAAATATATCACTTTTTATATGGTTATTGTGAATTCAAAAATTGCAAGAAAATGTGTTCTTATGTTTGTTCTTATTGAAAGTAATTCTTCTGATAATTTATAATTTTTTTTAAAGTGATAAGAATAATATTAACAACAAAACGATGAGCCAGGTGTTGGCCGGTCAAAAAATAACAGCAAAGGTTAAATTAAACAATTAATAGTTTAAGGTAATATTGTTATTGTATAACAACTTTTGTTAGACATTTAATAAAATAAATTTCAGTTTTTTTAAATTTATAAACAAACTGTTCAAACTTTTCTAGAAAAACTAAAATTTATTGTTGTATATTAAATATTTTTTATTAATAAAAATTTAAGATTTGTTTTAGTTTTTCACATTATTTAGTTTTGTTTTATTTATTGTTTTATATTTTTTGTGTGCTCTATTTCTTGTGGGAGAGAGAAGGGCCCCGTAAGAAGAAAATGTCTAGGACCCCAAAGTGGATTAATCCAGCCCTGTGCATGCCAAGTTTCACGGTGATATAACAACTTCTTGATGCACTAATTTTTATAGCAATGAGTGCAGATGAATACCAAAATATTTTAATATAGTTTAAAGTTTTTTGTTTTTAATTAAAGAAACTTAAGAGCATTGTTCTAAAATGCAATAGAAAAATTATTTTTACAAATCTTTTAATATTGAATTTTCATTGAAATAAAACTACTGAAATTCTTCCTGTTTATAGAATAAAAATTATATAATGATCAAAAATTATTGTTTTAAGTTTTAAGAAGTGAATTTTGTAGAAAACTTCAGAATATGTTTTTAATTTAGGCTACTCATGTACATGGTGAAATTCATGAATCTGCAGATGGAATGAGAGATGCAGTACATGATTTATTACATACATTGCAAGCTGCAGCTACAGATATGGCTACTGTTACATCACATATAGAAACATTAAGAAAATCTATGTCTAAGGTATTTTAAAAAACTTGATTATAAAGCAGTTTTTCTTTTTAAGAAAAAAAAGATTTAAAGATTTAATTGTAACATGGCCAAATTTATTTGAATTTATAATTTAAATTTAAACAATATAATTTCAAATCTTTTAAATTAGGTGAATGAATGGTATATCAATGGTACAGAAAATACATTTGTTGATTATCAAACAAGGATGGTAATTGAAGCTAAAGAAATTGCAAGAACTGCCCAAGATATGGTATGGTTTGAAATATCAATAATAGATATTTGAATAAAAATATATTTAAGTAGATTAGCATAATTAAATGTAGAAAACATATTAAAAATAGAATATTCTTTACATCAGTTACTCATATGTAAATCTGCTTTATTAACTATTTTTACTATTTATTTCAAAAGTCTGGAAAATCTATGACAAATACACAAGAACTAGGATCATCAGCAGGAAATTTAGCCCATCATTATTCGAATTTGGCAGCTGATACACCTGGTGTTATTGCTACAATTACAAATGCTGAGGTATTTTGAATGTTACAAATTCTTTATATATTTGTAATATGTTTAGTAATGACTAAATACTAGTGTATATGTATACAAAATGCAACCTCCCTTATGGTAATTCAGGAGGAAAATTTATGGATAATAATTGTTTGAGCAAATCTTTTTGTAAATGCAATGTTTTGAAGATTATAATAATTAATAAATAAATATTAGGCAAAATTTTAATGTTTTCATTTTGAATTATTATTATTTTTTTAATTTATTAAAGTTTTTAACAAGGAAAACAATAATAATTTTATCATAAAAAAAATCATCTTTAATTGAATACTAATAATGAATATTTAGATGGAAACACATCAATTTTTATTTGGAATTATATAAAGATATGATAAACAGAAGGAAATAACATTAATTTTTACACTGTTTTATTATAAAAATGTGTAATAGAAGGATGATGAAATAAGTTTTCAAAGATAAATTTGCAATACAGTATATTCTTTTGAAAATGTTACACATAATTATTTCTGAATGGGTAATGCAAGTAAACAATTTTTATATATATCTAACAGTTTTTTCAAATATATTTCCATTAAAATAAAAATGATGTAAATGATAATCTATTTTGCTTACACTTTTAATAAATATTAAAGAATAAATACAAAATCAACATTTTTTAATAAATCTCAGAAAATGTAAAAGATTTAAACATTAATAAATCAATCTGTTAACTAGGTCATGTTTACTTCAATGTTTTTTCTTTATTTTATTTTAATAATAATAATAATAATGAAAACTTGTTCTCTTAGTGATTGTTGTGTATGTAAGTTCTGATTGGCCAGAAAGGATATAAATAAAACATTTGAGGCATTCCTGTGTTAAAAGTTTACACAAACATATGTCTTTTTTTAAAAATAATCACTTCTGAAGTATTCTGAGTAATTTTTTTGTATTAGACCATAAGCTATATTTGCTTGTTGAAATCTCTGCCACTAGATTCTTAATCCAAAGTTATGGAATTGTTGTAATTGCTTCACACTATCAAATCCTAGTCTTGCTAAACATGTCTATAAATGCAAAAATGGATCAAAACCAAAGTGGAAAATTGGGTTATAGCATTGGTGTGGAAAATTCATCACTAGAATTGCACCAGCAGTCTGCTTGTTCAGGCAGTAATATACAAACTTGCATTGCTATGATGCAAATGCCAATTCCTAATGCCTATATACAAATAATACCAAAATACTATATGCTTCATTTGTTTTCAATAGACTGTAGTGATTTTTTTTGAGATCTTAATATTTATCTACATGCATTGTTGCTCCATAATTCAGGAATTTATTCAACAAAACATGATAATGTTATCTCACAGCAGATAGGATTTTTAATCTTCTTAACCATTTCCTGATATGATTATGAATGTCTGATAAATGCAAAAAAACTGCAGATATGTCTGATATTTCTATCTTGCCTTCTGAGGCAACAATGTGCTGAGCAAAATTGAACTCATGCCATTTTCACAGATTGTATGTATAATCAGAATACAGTAGTACCTCAGGATATGAAATTAATCTGCTTCGAAACTGAGATCGTATCATGAAAATGTTGTAAGGTGAATCATTTTTCCCCATATGATTACATGTAAAACCAAATAATCCATTCCAACACAAAAAACACACTCAAATTAAAGCTAAGTAGTACATTGAAAAAAAAATAACTTTAGTAAGGAAAACACTGAAAAATGCGTTTTGTAGTTGTAAATATATAAATAACCATAATAGAATAATAATTGAGAAAAAAAAATGTAATTTTATTTTCACTTTACCTTTGAGCATAGACAACAGTGGAGGTGTAAACTGGTGGCGGAGGACAGGGAGAAGGGAAATAATACTAAAACTTAACTTACATAACATAATCTAACAATAACTTAAAAATAATTTAACACTAATTTTTTTATCTTTTCTGTTTTATATACTTTTAAAATTTTTTATTCACTGCTTTTTGCTTTCTTTCCTTCACTTCCACCTGCACTTTCACTGGATAGTTGCTGGTAAAATATCTATCCAAAGAGGTTTGGCTTTGCTACTTTTTAAAATGTTTCTAAAATGATTTAGGCAAATGTCATTACTCTGAGCAGCAATACAGCCAGTGTGAACCTTTTCCGGATGTTTCTTTTCNGTGTATCAGGCGCATCGACTATAATATTCCTCATTTCTAGTCTCTTAGCCAGTTTAGTGTTAGCGAAGCGCTTAACTTTAGCCTGTAGCTTGTCCACCGTATCCCATTGCACAATGTCACATCTGGTACTCTTAATGTGCTCCGACAACAATTGGTCATATGTATTGCGCTTCATGAGGACCATAGCCTTGTCCAAAATGAACCAAAACTAACGTTTTGGTTCGTTTTGGATCGTTAAGAGTTAGTAGACACACCGGTAACAGGTTAGAAAGAGGTAATTATATTACTATTCTCCGGTGTTGTGGTAAAGATGAGTAAAAATATATCACTTTTTATATGGTTATTGTGAATTCAAAAATTGCAAGAAAATGTGTTCTTATGTTTGTTCTTATTGAAAGTAATTCTTCTGATAATTTATAATTTTTTTTAAAGTGATAAGAATAATATTAACAACAAAACGATGAGCCAGGTGTTGGCCGGTCAAAAAATAACAGCAAAGGTTAAATTAAACAATTAATAGTTTAAGGTAATATTGTTATTGTATAACAACTTTTGTTAGACATTTAATAAAATAAATTTCAGTTTTTTTAAATTTATAAACAAACTGTTCAAACTTTTCTAGAAAAACTAAAATTTATTGTTGTATATTAAATATTTTTTATTAATAAAAATTTAAGATTTGTTTTAGTTTTTCACATTATTTAGTTTTGTTTTATTTATTGTTTTATATTTTTTGTGTGCTCTATTTCTTGTGGGAGAGAGAAGGGCCCCGTAAGAAGAAAATGTCTAGGACCCCAAAGTGGATTAATCCAGCCCTGTGCATGCCAAGTTTCACGGTGATATAACAACTTCTTGATGCACTAATTTTTATAGCAATGAGTGCAGATGAATACCAAAATATTTTAATATAGTTTAAAGTTTTTTGTTTTTAATTAAAGAAACTTAAGAGCATTGTTCTAAAATGCAATAGAAAAATTATTTTTACAAATCTTTTAATATTGAATTTTCATTGAAATAAAACTACTGAAATTCTTCCTGTTTATAGAATAAAAATTATATAATGATCAAAAATTATTGTTTTAAGTTTTAAGAAGTGAATTTTGTAGAAAACTTCAGAATATGTTTTTAATTTAGGCTACTCATGTACATGGTGAAATTCATGAATCTGCAGATGGAATGAGAGATGCAGTACATGATTTATTACATACATTGCAAGCTGCAGCTACAGATATGGCTACTGTTACATCACATATAGAAACATTAAGAAAATCTATGTCTAAGGTATTTTAAAAAACTTGATTATAAAGCAGTTTTTCTTTTTAAGAAAAAAAAGATTTAAAGATTTAATTGTAACATGGCCAAATTTATTTGAATTTATAATTTAAATTTAAACAATATAATTTCAAATCTTTTAAATTAGGTGAATGAATGGTATATCAATGGTACAGAAAATACATTTGTTGATTATCAAACAAGGATGGTAATTGAAGCTAAAGAAATTGCAAGAACTGCCCAAGATATGGTATGGTTTGAAATATCAATAATAGATATTTGAATAAAAATATATTTAAGTAGATTAGCATAATTAAATGTAGAAAACATATTAAAAATAGAATATTCTTTACATCAGTTACTCATATGTAAATCTGCTTTATTAACTATTTTTACTATTTATTTCAAAAGTCTGGAAAATCTATGACAAATACACAAGAACTAGGATCATCAGCAGGAAATTTAGCCCATCATTATTCGAATTTGGCAGCTGATACACCTGGTGTTATTGCTACAATTACAAATGCTGAGGTATTTTGAATGTTACAAATTCTTTATATATTTGTAATATGTTTAGTAATGACTAAATACTAGTGTATATGTATACAAAATGCAACCTCCCTTATGGTAATTCAGGAGGAAAATTTATGGATAATAATTGTTTGAGCAAATCTTTTTGTAAATGCAATGTTTTGAAGATTATAATAATTAATAAATAAATATTAGGCAAAATTTTAATGTTTTCATTTTGAATTATTATTATTTTTTTAATTTATTAAAGTTTTTAACAAGGAAAACAATAATAATTTTATCATAAAAAAAATCATCTTTAATTGAATACTAATAATGAATATTTAGATGGAAACACATCAATTTTTATTTGGAATTATATAAAGATATGATAAACAGAAGGAAATAACATTAATTTTTACACTGTTTTATTATAAAAATGTGTAATAGAAGGATGATGAAATAAGTTTTCAAAGATAAATTTGCAATACAGTATATTCTTTTGAAAATGTTACACATAATTATTTCTGAATGGGTAATGCAAGTAAACAATTTTTATATATATCTAACAGTTTTTTCAAATATATTTCCATTAAAATAAAAATGATGTAAATGATAATCTATTTTGCTTACACTTTTAATAAATATTAAAGAATAAATACAAAATCAACATTTTTTAATAAATCTCAGAAAATGTAAAAGATTTAAACATTAATAAATCAATCTGTTAACTAGGTCATGTTTACTTCAATGTTTTTTCTTTATTTTATTTTAATAATAATAATAATAATGAAAACTTGTTCTCTTAGTGATTGTTGTGTATGTAAGTTCTGATTGGCCAGAAAGGATATAAATAAAACATTTGAGGCATTCCTGTGTTAAAAGTTTACACAAACATATGTCTTTTTTTAAAAATAATCACTTCTGAAGTATTCTGAGTAATTTTTTTGTATTAGACCATAAGCTATATTTGCTTGTTGAAATCTCTGCCACTAGATTCTTAATCCAAAGTTATGGAATTGTTGTAATTGCTTCACACTATCAAATCCTAGTCTTGCTAAACATGTCTATAAATGCAAAAATGGATCAAAACCAAAGTGGAAAATTGGGTTATAGCATTGGTGTGGAAAATTCATCACTAGAATTGCACCAGCAGTCTGCTTGTTCAGGCAGTAATATACAAACTTGCATTGCTATGATGCAAATGCCAATTCCTAATGCCTATATACAAATAATACCAAAATACTATATGCTTCATTTGTTTTCAATAGACTGTAGTGATTTTTTTTGAGATCTTAATATTTATCTACATGCATTGTTGCTCCATAATTCAGGAATTTATTCAACAAAACATGATAATGTTATCTCACAGCAGATAGGATTTTTAATCTTCTTAACCATTTCCTGATATGATTATGAATGTCTGATAAATGCAAAAAAACTGCAGATATGTCTGATATTTCTATCTTGCCTTCTGAGGCAACAATGTGCTGAGCAAAATTGAACTCATGCCATTTTCACAGATTGTATGTATAATCAGAATACAGTAGTACCTCAGGATATGAAATTAATCTGCTTCGAAACTGAGATCGTATCATGAAAATGTTGTAAGGTGAATCATTTTTCCCCATATGATTACATGTAAAACCAAATAATCCATTCCAACACAAAAAACACACTCAAATTAAAGCTAAGTAGTACATTGAAAAAAAAATAACTTTAGTAAGGAAAACACTGAAAAATGCGTTTTGTAGTTGTAAATATATAAATAACCATAATAGAATAATAATTGAGAAAAAAAAATGTAATTTTATTTTCACTTTACCTTTGAGCATAGACAACAGTGGAGGTGTAAACTGGTGGCGGAGGACAGGGAGAAGGGAAATAATACTAAAACTTAACTTACATAACATAATCTAACAATAACTTAAAAATAATTTAACACTAATTTTTTTATCTTTTCTGTTTTATATACTTTTAAAATTTTTTATTCACTGCTTTTTGCTTTCTTTCCTTCACTTCCACCTGCACTTTCACTGGATAGTTGCTGGTAAAATATCTATCCAAAGAGGTTTGGCTTTGCTACTTTTTAAAATGTTTCTAAAATGATTTAGGCAAATGTCATTACTCTGAGCAGCAATACAGCCAGTGTGAACCTTTTCCGGATGTTTCTTTTCAATAAAATTAGTCACTTTCTGATAATACCTCAAGATTTCCTTTATTGAGCAAGATCCTTCTACGACAAAGCAAACATGCGGACTGAGACCAATGAACAGAAGTGAATAAAAAATGGCACTGCGAACTAATTGTAATGTTGTATGGTGAGTTTTTGTTCATACCATGGAGCAAAATTATGTTCAAATTTCATGTCGTATCCTGAAAATTTCATATGCTGGAGCATTCGTATCCTGAGGTACTATTGTATTCATTGTTTGATTTGAGAAATTGACAGCTGGCTTCATCAAAAAGAGGATGAAAAAGTTGTGCTCTGACACAAAATATGTAAATTTTAAAGGTGATTTGTGTTGAAAAATAGTTGAATATATGTGTAAATCTTTGACAATAAAGGAATGTCCAAAATGTTTTCTTTGTGTCTATTGAGATCAGTCAGAACTTACTTTCCAATGACTCCTCATTCATAATTTAAAACATTTTAAAATTAAATATAATTGTGCTTTGATAAATGAACTTTGATTTAAACCAGGAGTCAATTTTAAAATAATTTCACAAAAAACTATATAATATAACTTCTTTAAATCAGTGTTTTTTACATTTATTAACATTAAAAAAAAAAAACATTTTTATAAAAATCTTTTAAAAATTAAAAGATATTTATCTGGTAATCAACATGAAATAATGTAGTATATTTAAATATAAAATCACTTTTTATTTTTACAATAATCTTTTGAATTATTTATAAAGCCTCAGATGAAATTATTTTTTTAGTTAACCTATGCACATGTGCATCAATTGAACCAATTATAAAACATTTTTTATCTGCTTTAATGGAAATTTTTTCTTTTTAACTTCTTGCTCTATCTATATTTATTTATTTTATCACTTTAATTGAAAATATTGATGTATTAAAGTTTAACTTACAAGAGAGTGAAATATTATAATAATTGGCTTTATATCTTTATTTGAATGCTAATATTTCTAGATGTGTATATATAGGTATATATCTAAATATATAAAATTGCTTGTCCTGACTGACTCACTCATTCATTCACTGATTCATCATCGCCCAGAGCAAACCGCTTAACCTAAAGAGGTGAAATTTGGTACACAGTTAGGGTACGTCATGGAAACGCACACTAAGAAAGGATTTTTCGAAATTCCAACGCGGGGGGGTGAGGG